TTAGACATGTAAGTTTAATTTCATAAATTAAAAATAATCATTTTTACTTGGAGATAATTGAATGAATAATCCAATGCCAAGAAGATTTTAATTTTCATTGCAATCTCTATTCTTATCTTTAAATATAAATCAAATATAATATAAAATAATTATCATTCTATTTTATCAATAATCTTATATATCAAACATAATTTTTATATCTTATATAATAATTGATGGCAATAGGGCGGGTTGGTAGTCTAGGTAGACATTCAAGTACGGTAAACCTAGATTCTCAACTGCGCAAGGAAATAATTGAAAAAACGTCACCTATATATAAATATACTAATGCTACATACAATAAGCAGCTAGGAGCTTAGGAGCCTAGCACACTAACCAACTCTTAATGTTTTCAGTTCACCAAGATCTGGCTATATTTATTCTGTATACCAAAATCTTCTCTCATTGGTCACATGTGATCGGACAAAATTTGTGCAGCAGATATGCCCAAGGATTCTAATGTGCTAAGTCCTTAACATTGACTTACATGAGATTAATGGAAGCGATATTGGTAATTGCAATCTCTTTGCACGGTAGTCTTATTCAAGGAATACATATATACATATATTAAGCAAGCAATAACAGCAAACTAACCTATAAAGTCTATGATGAAACGACCATCAGAAGCCCTTCCAGAAGGTTGTTTGAAGAAAGTTTCACCATATGCTGATGGAATCTCTGCCAGTGCTGCATTATATCCCCCAGTGTCCGAATTCGAGTTCCCAAAGTTGTGTGTTGCCGGAAACCTGCATCTTTGTGAACCCGTGCCACCACTCACCGGCATCATTGGTGCCATGAATGTCAAAGCCAAAAGCCCAGACACAGAAAATAACCTCTTAGACTCCATAGTTGCCTTGCCAATAGCACCGCTTCACTCGCTTAATTGCCTACTCTCGCAGAAGTCATATAAAGACAGATAGAGATCTGTAGGACAGTCAAGTATGGCCAGTCAAGAATTTATTTGGTTGATTATTGAACTCTGCAGAGAGGAAAATGCACATAAATAATGATCCATCGCATCCGTAACTTAAATTTTGATCATGTAGGGAACATACTGTCCGTCTATAGAGCTACAAGGCATCATTTTCATGTTTTTTTTAAATTTTTTTAAAAAATATTTAAAAAATATTTTTTAAATTATAAAAATATATTTTTTAAAAGATTTTATTTGTTTATATATAAGATTCACTTATATTAATTTTTTTTTACCCTTTTAATTTTTCTTTTTAATAAATATTTTTTAAGATTTTATTTTTTTTTAGAATTTATTTGATACTAATGATATATTACGTGTTTATCTTTTATATTTAATAGATAATTTTATATTTTAATTTTTTAAGATATCAAAAGTATAAAGCGTATTAAATCATTTGAATCTTTTTTTTCTTTTTTCTTTTTTTACTATTTACTATTTCTTTCTTTTTTTTTAAATCTATTATATAAATTTTTTAAGAAAAAATCATTGCAAATATTGCATGATAATTCAACTTTTTTTTTTTTTTGTCTTTCATCTTTTCTTTTTCCTTTTTTTTTTTATAAATAAGTTCATTTTTTTTAAATAAACAAATGATTATGTACACATGACACCTTTTTTTTATTTTTTAATTAATCAAATTATTATTTAATACTTTAATTTAAAATTAATATTTTAAACTTTATTGGGTTATTCACATTGTATCCCAACAAACTCACTTCACTTTTTTTCCTTTTTTCTTTTTTGTTTTTATACCTTTTTTATTAAATTAATTTTGTTAAAAAAATAAGGTTAACAGAGATATACGCGTAATATGTCATTTTTTTTTCTTTAGCCTTTTTTATACTTTTAATTAGATAAATTTTATAATAAAAAATATCAAATGATAGATATACCAAAATAATATGTATATGATGGGTTTTAATTAATCTCAATCCGATTGAGGGTGATCTTTTTTTAATTGGAGTTGAGTTAAGATAGGTTAATTTTTTTTATAAGATACAACATTGGGATGAAAACGTGTTGAAGGTGTTTATTCTCAACTCATTTCAATGTATATATATAAATATATTTTATTATTAATTTAATTTTATATTTATATATTATTATATTAATAAAATTATTATTTAATATATTACTTTTAAAAATTAATATTTTAAACTCAATGGAGGTGTCCATTTGACACCTTTTATGAATTTTTTTATTTTTTATTTTTTATTTTTTATTTTAACCTTTTAAAATTTCTTTTATTTAGATTTTTTTTGTTAGATATATTTTGTGATGATAGGAGGCGAATTTAAGTATCCATATGTCACTTTTTTTTTTTAAATTTCTTTTTACTTTTCATCTTTTTTATTTTTTTAATTAGATAAATTTTGAAAAAAGAAATTGTGAATAGAGATCAAGGTTGTTAATATAATTCAAACAACATTTTGATTTTCTTTTAAAAAATTGTATATGTCAATATTAGTTGTTTCGGTATATTATTTCAAATTTTTTAGTTTAATACAAATATATATATATATATATATATATACATGGATTTGTATATAATAATACTACTAACAAATAATAATATGCAAAATAAATATACAATATCTTAAAAAACTAAATAAATAAATTTAAAAGTATAACAAATAATATCATCAATTTATCATGAAACTTTTAAACACTTAATTTGATTTTATGGTATTTAAATAATTTTTTTTCATGTAAATATATGTTAAGATAAAAGCAAAGAGATAAAAAAGAAATTAATTTTAGTTTTACAATTCTTAAACTATAGAGAGGAAACACAATTGCTTTTTTGAAAGAGATCGAAATACTTATGAATTTTGGTTTGAAAAATAAATGTAAAAGAAAATAAGTTACGGTAAAAAAAAAATTCAACTTTTAAGGGTTATTTTATTTATTAGTTTATTTTTTAGGTTAAAAATAATCAAATAACAAAATATAAGTTAAAAATTACAAAACATATTTTATATTCACGTATCTACAAAAGCAAGTTATTCTATCAAAATTCATTGAAATCGGCTAAAATAAAATGAAAACAATTGGTATCATCTAATACCAAGTCTAGTGCAAAAAACTATTTTTAAGTGTATCATATTTTAGGATAACTATAGTATATCAACTTATACGGCTTGTATTGAAAAGAAATTAATAACAATGATAGAGATGGCAAAAAAAGAAAAAGTTTAGCCTATAATATTTTTGTTTGATAAAAAATTAATATCTGATAAGTTTCGATACATCTTGATTCGATATGATTGTTTGTGTAAAAATTAATATCGAATCAAATAGGGTTTAATTTTTTTTTATTAAAAAGCATGAATAAGTTAAAAATGGATTTAAGATGCTTTGCCACAAGCCACTTTGTGCTATATATAAAAAGTATATATTCCATTATCTATTTAATTTTATATAAATTTTGTAAAAATATAATGTTAATAGAGATACCTATGTAGCACCTCATTTGTTTATTTCCTTTCATATTTAAAAAAAAAAAATTAATTGGATCAATTTTATAACAAATGAGTCGATTGATAAAGTTGACAAAATAATTAATATCCAATAGATTTCTATCTATTTCAATTCTATATAAAATGTTTTTGTAACAAATTGGTATCGAATCAATTTGTCTCAGTTTCTTTTTTTTTTTTTTTTAAATATGAGATAAAACAAAAACGAATTTAAGATGCACTATCTTAAGCTATATAAAAGTCTATATTTTTATTTATTTAATATACATGTATAATATATATATATATATATATATATATATGTTCATCAATTTTTTGTTGAAAGCTTGGGTATTGAGTACCGCATACAACAAATAAAATAAAATAAAATATATTTATAAAATATATTTTATGAGAATAAAAGGTCAATTTAAATATTTATATGTCATCTTCATTTGCGTTTTGTTAATTTTTTATTTTTTTACATTAGATAAATTAAAAAAATTGGTGAATATGAATAATAAAGCAAAAAAAAAAAATTTAAGCTGTGATAACGTAACAAAACTTATTTAAAGTTCTTTAAGTGAAATTTGTCAATTTTTTTTATAAATAATTTAATAAAAACTTTAATAACAAATTTAACCCGATAAATTGTTAAAATTCAATATAAAGATCCATAATATATAAAAAAAAATTATTTAAAATTCAAATTTGCTAGATACTTATTCAATAGTAAAAATTTTATTAATATTTTTACTAAAAATATTTATCTAAGAATATATATAAAAATTTATTCTAATTTATTCAAAATTTACACACTTAAACTACAAAACAAAATCTTTTTATTTATTAGTTTTAATTTTCGATTTTAGTTTTTATTTAATCATTTCTAATAAAAAATTTCACCAACTTAATTTAAAAATTTTATCTAAAATCTTTTCCCGGATTGTCACCTAGTGAATATTAGACTAAACTTTAGATGCTTAATATGTGATGCGAGTCAAACTGGATCAAGTACCCTTCCCTATGCTGATTTGCTACCAAGAAACTGGTAATTAAGAATTTTTTTTCCCCAAACCAAGATGGGACTGGATTGCAAATTGTAATTAACAACCATTACGGAGTTGTAAATTGTAGTTGTCAACTATTACTTTGAAATCTAGAAACTTACTGATTATCTAAGCCCTTGTTTGGATTAAATAAATTACCAGCAGAAGTTTCAAAATAAAGACTACTCATAAAAATGAAATATACCATATATACAAACTTACTAGGAACTTATCAGGAAACTCATCAGGAAACTCAAGATACCAATTACCTATTTCTGTTGACACTTCTTCCTTTAATGTCGAAATTACTTACACATTAAATTATTTATAACCAAAGGTATAATGTCACAAATAACTCCTTATCTACAATATCAAGAGATATTATCACAAATGACACATGTATATAATAAAATATTTAATGTGATATTTCAATTTAAAAATTTTTTAATGTAATAATTTATTAACTAATATAATATTTCAAAAATTATTTATCTCCCACATCCAATCATTGAAAACTAATCACATTAGTAATTATTAATACCGTATTAATTAACAAATTTATAATTTTATATTACATTAAAAATTTTTAAAATTTAAATATCACATAAACAGTTCACTACTATAGTTTAAAGGTTATTTGTAACATTAATCCTAATCAAAATGTGAATTCCTATGCAATAAGTTCAGCAACCTCTCAATAGAACATAATTAACAAAACTTCCCACTTCATTTATCTTCACGAGGAGATGGATCTCCCTAGAATCCTAACGGTTCCTATCAAGAACCATAAGATAGCACACAAAGCACCTAAAATAGAAATGAAAAAGAATCCCATATTCGCGCCTCTCCTCCTAGCAGTTGCAGCACCATTAACTGCAACTGCATCAGTATTTCTAGCATTTAATCTCAACCTACTGAAGCTAGACATTCGCTCGAAAGCCCGATTTACCAAAGGACTCTCAGAAGCAGAAGCAGGAGTTGTAGGTATTGACTCCACGAACGACCACAAAGCAGAAGAAAACCCGTTTGCACCACCACTGTTTTTGTCACCTTGGTCTTGATTAATACCATTGTACACCAAACCTAAAGACGACCAAAAATAATCATATATAAGCAAAATTTTACAGTTTAGCAGTATTTTAGAGAGTTGCTTTTCCCAAGACAAAATATAAGTCCGAATATTTGCATTCTAATCACTTATAGTGACTATAAATTAAATACTTGTATCAGAAGAGCTCTTGAAGCAGGCTCAAATTCCTTTTTTCACAAAGGCTTTTTGCCATGTGGACTTTGGCATGTGTACCAAACCATCCATCAGATCAAGAGCTTTGCAAGGATGGCTAAGACAGCAACTTTGTCCAAAAGAATTCATAGCTCAGTGAATGTAAGATAAGTTCACAAATAAATGCATGTTGATATCCACACTTGTTCTACCTGAAGTTAGAGAGGCGTTCCCAAGATTTGATCCTTGCGGAATGAAAACATCATCGCTCTGATCATGTGTCCACAGTGAGCCATTAATCTCATCCATTTGGAGCTGTTGATCCAGCTCCTTTCCATCAGACTGGAACTGCAGTTGGCAATCCACCTGGTCCACAGTTGAATAGGGTATCAACTGCTGATCCATCAAGATTATATTTGAACTGGATTTAGATTGATAACCCACCTGATTTAACATATTATCCTCAAAGGCATTAAATTGAGGCTGCAACCGCTGATTATCACCAATGGTGTTCAATTGAGACTGTGCCTGTTGATTATCCCCAACGAAATTCAATTGAGGCTGCAACTGCTGATCCATCAGATTCATATTTGTTTGGTGTTGCGATTGCTGACCCATCAGGTTAATATTTGATTGGAATTCCAACTGGTAACTTACCTGACCCGTCATATTATCATATGAGAATGGAACTGTTCCTTGATCAATAGGCCCCATCTCATGTAGAAACATGGCAGCATCTTGGTACAGATCTAATTCACTCACTCCATCCAACTCATTGAACTGCCCATTCTCCACAGATTTCTCAATATTGGAGGCCAGAGGTTCACGACTGATGAGATCATCAATTTCCAGGAAATCCTCCTCGCATATTTGAGTTACCTGTTCAAAGTAGCCAGCAACAGACATGACCTCAGGTACCTCATGCAACTGCAATTGAGGAATAGGTGACTGAGAGAAATCAAAGCTCGCTTGGTCGTGGAGAGCACCAAGTGAATCTGGAAAGAGAACATCTCTTGGAGATGGGTCCAGCAAAGTACTTTGCGACTCTTCTTCACCAGCAACCTGAGGCAATACATAGCCAAAATGAGCTTGTGGCTCTGGAATTGCAGGCTCATCAGCTAATTGTCTCGTAAACTCCTCCAAATCATTCAATAGAAACTGAACTTGTCCGTTAGCTTTTATATTATCATCAGGAATGGCCTCATTAGGTGGCTTCACAGGGTTGATTGTATCAACAGGGTTACTGGCATATTCCTCATCAGCCCATTCTTCTTCTTTAAATGGTGCCCCATACTGCTCACCATTTTTAGGGCCAGGCCCACTTTTTTTGTACACTTTATAGAGTGCGTAATAGTCCTGAAACATCCAAAGAGAACCACAGAAGTAATAAACATCTCATATACAGGAAGAAAACTTGAAAAAAGTTTATCAGGAAACTTCTTCGGCAGCATACCTTTACATTCTGGCATCTCTTGAGTTCCTCTTCATTAAGGGTATACTCATGCATCACCCAATCAGTTCGCTCACCATTAGGTGCACGCCCTCTGTAGAAAACTAAAGTTTTCTTGACTCCAACTGACCGAGAATTACAGGTAACATTTCGATCCTTTCCTGTTGCCTTCCAATACCCACGTCTGGTTGCCCTGTTAGACCTTGCTCCATTGGGGTATTTCCTGTCTCTTGGACTGAAAAAGAACCACTGTCTGTCTCCAGTTTTCAGTATTGATTGTGCTGTATAAAATTTCTTTTGGTCATTAGAAAACTGATAATTCAACCAAATAAAGCAAAATTGAAAACTAGAAACCAACAAACATTATCTACAGCTGAACTTTTTCAAACAAACAATCCATCTGAAAAACAGATAGTATCAATGGGAACAAAAACAAACCATTCTTGTTTTATAGAATCATTGGAATAACTGAAAAGTTCATCATTGATTAAATCTGCTTTTGATAGACCATACCATACCAATCAGAGGTTAAAAGAAGAAGTTAGCTGTCACAGAAACAAAAGTTCCAATGTGTTAGATGACTAAACAAACAAATTTGTAATAAAAAAGCACCAATCAACTCTAATAACCGCATCAAATTGAAGTATGAAACCTGAATAAATCATACACCTATCACCAAAGTCATCCAATCAGTTTTTACAGTTCAAATTTCCATCAAAATCAATTAACAACTAACAAAAAGAAAACAAAAACTAAAAAAAAAAAACAAACAATCCATTTACTGTGCAAACCAAAGTCAACGCAACCAAAGGATATTTTGAAATAAGATGAAAACAGCGATTTGCATATAAAAAATCAATAGCTACAGAATCCTCATCAAACAAACCCATAAAACAAACAAATCAACAAGAGATCAAATCAAAACAACCCCCCCCCCCAAAAAAAAGGCAAATTACTCGAACTAAAGCCAAGTCAACGCAGCAAAACAATATTAAAAATCAAAACGAAAACCATGTAGCAACAAGAAACCACATCAATAATCAATAATTAATAAAAAAATCCAACCTAAAAAACAAAAACCCAAAAATTTCAGGGTCAAAAGAAAGGAAAATTTTACCAGGTAACTCCTCAGGATTCCATTTGTAAACATCAGTTTCCCTTATGATATCAAGCTTGAGCTTCCTTTTACAGATCTTCCTCTTCAAATAATAAAGAACCAGCTCTTCATCAGATGGGTGAAACCGAAACCCCGGTGGCCACGCTTGATCGTCGCCAAAACATGAATCAATCGTCGCAGCCGTCGTCGTCACTGTCATCTCTGTTAATAATAAAAAAATTTTCTTTTTTCTTTTTTTTTTAACTAAATACACCAGAAACCCAGAAAACTTTCCGATCAGGAAAGCCAAAAACTGACAAAGACCAAACTTTAAAACGAGGAATTTAATTATCACATGATATAGAATTGGAAGCTGATCTTAGGCACAAAACCTAAGAGGAGATTCTGGCTTTTTTTCTTGGCTTTTTTTTTTTTTTTTAAGAAGATGGAAAGATAGAATTGGAGTCGAGGAAAGAAAATTTGCAGCAAAAGTAAAATGGTGTAGTGTCGGTGGACTATGGACTCTTATGAAAAGAAGAGGATTTTTAAAAACCGGAGTGGTTCGAACCGGTGGGTCCAAATCTCAGTCCTGCGGATCTCATAACCTCCTCTATTTTTCTACAGAATCTTAAATCCGTCTTACTTGGAAATTTCCTTCATTGAATAAAAAGGACGTGCGTTGACCCAATTCCATTATATTAGCGGAGGAATTAATTTTACTGAGGTTAAAAATAATAATAATGCTAAGATCAATTATTATAATGATAAAATTAAAAATTATAATGATAAAATTAAAATTAATTATAAAATGTGTTTTAATAACAAAATAATGATGACAAGTAATAGTGAGATAAAATATTGTGATAAAATAATTATTAAAAATGTTAGATTAAAGTTTATACATGATAAAATTTTTATTCACTCAAAATATTTGCAAATATTCTCTTTAGATAAAAATGATTATATATTTAATGGAATTATTAAATTTTTATTGACTTATTTATGTATTTATTTATATAATTGTAGATTTTTATTTTTATTTTTGTATTTGTGTATTTTTATTCCTGTAACTATTTATTTATATATGTAATTAAGAATATATAAAATTATTTTGCATAATCAATTATATGTATAAATATATTTATTTAATTTTTGTTATTAACTTATTTATTCACTAGCTTTTTTAATCCGTGCAATGCATGGAATTTTTATTGAATTTTTTATAATTTGGAATTCATTTTTTAATTATTGATCTAATATATAATCATACATTTGTAAATGCTAAGTTACAATTAAATAACAAATTATATATAATATATTATAAACAATACTATTCATGTGAAAGAAGTTTAAATTTTTGTAAATTTTCAAAAATAATAAAAATTCTTTCTTTTTCATAAAAAAAACTTTTTTCAATTCATTTACTAAATATTAAAAATTTTGCTATTGTTTTTTCTTGTTTGATAAAAAATCAAGAATCAATATTTAAATAGTTAAGATTAATAATTGTTTTTATGATAATGTTGATTAGGTGTGTATATATATAAATGATTGAACAACAAATCACAATTATTAATTTAGTCATAACCATTTGCTTTTTATTAGTTCTTATTTTTAACATACTTCAAGTAATTATTACACTAATATATTGGGCTAACAATTATTTCTATATATGTCAACAAAATAAAGTTATTTGTTAGATAAAAGGGAAATAATAATTCTTTATGTTATGCTTACAAACCTTTTTTTAGAAATATTTTTTATTTTTAATTATTTTTAACATAATTGATAGTATTTTTTTTAGGTTAGATATGGTAGTGATTATCATTCTTCTCATACCATCCATGGTAGATAAAAAATTTCAATAATAAAAAGTATAGTAAAAGGAAATAAAGAATATATATTTACATATTAATTTGTCAAGATTAAAGATATAAATTAATAGAGAATAAAAACATTGAAGAAATGAATAAAACAAAAAATACTATGAAAAGTTAATTATAATCAATCTAAACAAAATTAAAAAAGGTTATGAATTGAGAAACAAATAAATTAACCAAATATATAATATAAAAATATTTGAATTAGAACATAAATAAAACATTGTATTTGTTTTCAAAATAAAAACATATTTTTATCTAACTTTTTTATCAACATTCAAATATTTCATATTTTCATATAGAGATGTAAGCTCTTATTACTTGAAAAATACATGTTTTCTAGTCAATAATTCATTAACTTATCTAACAATATTAAATTTAAATAATCTATTAAATAATTTTCAATCTTTGATAGATTTTGATTTGAATTTAAATAATATCTAAAAATATTAAATTTAAATAATTTATTAAATAGAATTATTTGATAGAAAATAAAATTTTATTAAATATATATATTTGGATCTGTCATTAAATTTAAAAAGAAAAAATAAATTATGATTTAATATACTTGAATTCAACTTTTATGCAAAATTTTTAATCTCAGATAGATTTTGATTTCAATTTAAATAACTATCCAAAATATTAAATTTAAAAAATTTATTAAAAAAATTTATTTGATAAATAAAATAATATAAGTATTATCCTATGTGTCATTATCCATCTAAGCATCCACATAAATAGTTTTTATCATGTAAATCTTAATAATTATAAAAAATCACACACCCTCTAAATTAATATTCACATAAATTTAAGTAAATAAAGTTCATGGTTAAATCATTGTTATTTAATGATCTTTGTGTCTTTATGTTTCTATAATTTAAATTAAAAGAAAAAGATATTTGATCTCAATTTAAAATTACACATATATCTATATTTAAAATTATACTAACCCCTTGTATCTTAATTTAAAATTAAACTTAGATAAACTACATTTTTAAAAATTTAGAATTTTTTAAAATTAAATAATTATCAAATATATATTTATGATTTTTTCTCACAATTAATATTTTCTTCTTTATAAAAGATAGAGCTATAGATATTTGTTACAAAAGTTTGGCATGATAAAATTTCAAAATCAAATATAAAAAAGATTTTTTAATGATATATCACATTTGTAAATCTTAGTTTTCATACTAAAATAATATATACTATTAACTTTTTAGGTGAGATAATGATCTAAGAGGGGGGTGAATTAGAGTTTTTTAAATTCTTTCCCAAAAATAGATTTCAATATAATTCAATAGAAGATTAAAACTAATATCAAAATATGATGCAAATAACAATAAATTGATGAACTTAAAGCAAATATAAACTATATTCAAAGTAAAGAGATAGGGATAGAGAAATCAAATACAAGAATTTATAGAGGTTTGGTCCTTCTCCACAAGGCACCTACATCCTTTCTTCTTGGTTGTTCACACCAAAGCTTTAATTTACTATTCTTGAATTGAAATTACAACCTTATCTTTTTCTCTCTAAAGCTTAAGATAGAAACCTTATACTCTATACTTTCTAAGCTAAGTAGCAACCTTTCAATCCTACAAAATCAAGAGGATTTCTCACCTCTTGATTACAAAATCACTTAATAAAAATGTAAACTTAAAACATCTCTCAAAGACTAGGTGTTTGCCTAATGGAGTACAAAGAAATTTGATGAATAAACAACAACAGTAATTTGGATACAACAAATAGAAATTTGTAGACTTTTAAGCTCTAACAACTCTTGATTCTTTGAGAGAATGAAAATATAACTTGTTGGCTTTTCCTCTCTTGCTTCATCAATCTTCTTGATGTGTTGGAGTAGTCAATATATAAAGAAATTGAAGAGCTAGCTGTTAATGAAGCTTGGGAGAAGAAAATGCCTATTGGAAACATAAAAAAGTAGTTGTTGGAGTGATTTTTCCCTGACCCGATCAATCCCTTCCATGAGGGGACCGATTGGTTCATGTTTTGGAACCAATTCACGACTTGAAAAAGCTTACCTAATCGATCCCTTCCTTTAGGGGATTAATTGGTTCAAGGGGGTGATCAATCCCCTCTATAGGCTGAGTGATCCTTTTTGCAATCCTAGAGCTAAAATTCTATTTTGGGTAGAAAAACAATCGTTCCCTTGTTTAGGGGATCAATCTTGTCCATATAGGGCATGTCTCATATTTTGCACTTTACTCACTAATTTAATCATATTTTGAGTTATACAAATCCAAATCACAAACTGTTTAAAGATTTAGAAACTAGACCTAAAGAGCTTTCCATCCATATAAAATTGATCACTTAATTTATTGTGTATGAATTATAGCGAATTTTCAAAACTATCCATTGTGCAGTTTTTAGACAATTACAAAGTGTCTAGTAAATATTCAAAATCTTTTCTTAAAAAAATTTGATTTTGATTTTGTTTTATCCATTAGAAAGTAGACTTAAAGAGTTTTCAAACCATATAAAATTCAAATATTAAAACTTTATGAATTAATACAGAAAAATAAAATAAGTTCAATGTTGAAAAACTTTGTTCTTGTAAAATAACTTTCCTAAGTTAATCTATTTCTCAAAACCAATATTATTAAAATTGTATTAAGTCCAAAATGAATAAGTTCATTTTAAAAACAACAATTAGACTTTCATTTAAGCTCAAATAAATAATCTTTAAAGATAGATTTGGTTTGAGAAATATGAAAACAAAGAAATGTTTATTAAAGCTTTGAAAATCATATTTTTATTTAGTAACAAAATATAAAACTTAAAAAACATGTACTAAATAAATCTTTTTCAAAGTCTTGATCAAACTTATTTAGCTTAATGTTTTGTCATTTCAAAATAAGGATCAATTCAAGGGTAATAATCTCCCCTTTTTTGATATGACAAAACCTAAAGATAAATTTGCTTGATAAAAAAAACTTTCTTTGAAACATTTAAGTTTTTGAAAAACATTTTGAAAAACTCCCCCTTAAACAATGCATGGCAAAACTCCCCCTCAATTTATGCATCTTAATCTAACACATCTCAACAAACATATGTTAGTCAAATATATCAAATAAGCACAATTAAACAGATACATATCAAGCACAAGCAAATTTTTCATATGATATTTCTTCCCTTTTTTGTCATAGCAAAAAGGCATGAGCATATTAATGAGCAAATAAACACAAAGAGGCATAATTAACTAATATGTTCATGAAACATTTCTCCTCTTTTTTTGTTTAAGCTTTTCATACCAAATATTTAAGCTCTTATATCAATTGTTATCAGCATACAAGAAGAAATATCTATAAACTCTCTCCCTTTTTGTCATAGCAAAAGAAAGAGAGATCAATTCAAGGCATAAGACAAAATGCATGATACCAATAATATCAAAAGTATTTTTGAATGCATGTAATAAAGTGGTGTTCACAATCAAGTTCAAATACATGTATTCAAACACAAAAGTATAATAATATAAATGTATCCAATTTTATCATTTTAGCACAAAATCATTCATATCATGATTGTTATGAGTAAAGAGATAAAAGAATATTAGGCATGATATTCATACATCATGTTTTCATAAAATGTGCTTAGAACCTAAAACATCAATAGTAATTAAGCATAAATTCAAGCACATGCATATAAGCTCATACCAATTGTTAAGGATACCAATTGTTAAATATATGTTATCACAAAATAAATCAAGCAAAATTGTATTC